GTTATAATTTCAACCATCTTAGTTAATTATTTCAATTTCATATTTTTTGATACTCTTATTTCCTTTATTATAAGCATAATAATTGTTAATTATGCTTTAGATTTGTTCAATAGATGAAATTAACTTTTCTGATAGTTCATTTTCAATTTCATTAGCTAATATTTTAGCATCTTGTTTTTCCTTTTTTGGTATAGAATTATTTAATGATTTAAGATTTTTAATAAAGATTTTAACTCTCTCAAATTCATTTTTCTTATTTAACCTCAAAATACATAATGAAAGTTTATATACAACATTAATATATTCTTTATGAATATCAGGAATTTGCCCTATAATTTCATTTAGTTTAGAATACGCATTTTCATAATCTTCTTCATCAAATTCGTGTTCAGCATCAAATATAAGACTTTCTAATCTTATTTCTAATTCATAATGTGAAATTTCATCAAAAAGTTCACAAAAGTCTGTTAGTAATATTTCTTTTTTCTTTGGTTTTTGATAACATTTCAAAATAATCTTTATATTCATAGACTTTAGTAATTTTTCAATTTTAAAATAGTTAAAGAGAAATAAAAAATGATATTATCATAAAAAATATAATTTGACAGAATTTTTTTGATATTCTCTTTTGCTAACAAATAAGCGGATTCTAATTGGTCATTGTTGAAAAGATCTATAACTTTTTTTACAATATCTTCGAAGTTTTTTTCAGATGATATTATATTATGTTTAATATCTACATATGTATTTTATATTTAAATATTTTTATAATTAATAATAATATTCTAATAAATTAATAAACAAATCAAAATAAAACCTTAAACATTGAATCTTTTACAATGTAAAAATGCCTAACCTCAACCAAATCAATCTAAATGATTTTTCTGATAAAGAGTTAATTTATAAAAATACCAATGTGGAGATTGTTAAAACGAAATGGATATCATTAGATCTAGATGTGGTTATCAAAAAAATTTTTAAAAAATAATAACGAATTTCAAAATGAATTTAATATTATCTCAAAATTAAAGATCCAACATCCAAACATCATTACCTTTTATGGATATTGTTCTAACAACCCTCTCAATTTAGTTTTTGAATATGCGGATCAGAGAAATCTAAGAAAATATCTAAAAGATAAATTTGATTGCTTAACATAGAATAAAAAGCTTAAACTTTGTAAAGATATTACTCATGGTCTATATTTTTTATATAATTACAATATAATTCATAAAAATATATGGTCCAAAAATATTTTAATTTCACAATGTACCGCCAAGCTTTCCGATTTTGGATTTAGCAAGTTTGAGAATAAAAAAACTAGATCAATTGATGGTCTGAGAAAAGTTTCGTATATCGATCCTCAATATATTATCAACCCCAAGTATGAATTATTAAAAAAATCAGATATTTATTCATTGGGTGTTGTCTTTTGAGAAATTTCAAGTGGTGAAATACCATTTAAAAATTTTGACATTGAAGATGCAATTGCAATACGTATTTTTAATAGAGAAAGAGAAACTCCAGTTAAGGACATACCCGAGTGGTATATGGATATTTACGTTAGATGTTGGAATCAATTACTAGAGAATAGACCAAATATTAAGGAAGTTTTTGATATTATTAAGAATTATTAGTTCTTTTATAAATTTTATATGTATTAATAATTATTTTTAAATAAAAAACTCTGTAAACTCTGAGAAATGAATATAAAAGTTTTAATTTTTTATCATGATTCAAATTGAATAATCATTATGTTAGTCTTAAGAGACTTACCAACTGAGATTTTTTTTATTATTGTAAGAAACATCAGATGTCTATTAAATCTTTTATTAGTTTGTCATTTCTTTTATGATATCATAACTAACCCCAGTATGAAAGCTATATGGTTACTTTACAATTTTGGTAAAGCACAGACCCTTTTTCACGCTGTTAGATTGGGTCCTTATTTTTTAACTCTTGAAGTAGCACAATGTATACTAAGTCAAGGAGCAAACCTATCTCATTATTTCATGCAAAGACTCATGTTGGCTTTTGGTGAATATGATATACATTTGATAGAATTAAAAATATCACATAATCTAAATTTGACAATTGATAGAAATAATGTTAAAAAAATTGAAAAACCATGGAGTAGTACTTTAAAAACAGAAGTTTTTAACTTCTTTTTACTAGAAGCGGAAAAAATTTACAAGGATAAATCATTTTTGAAATCAAACGATATAGAACTTTTTCATTTTTTATCTTGTGGTCCATCTATAATTAAAAGTGCTAGAGAACGAATTAAAAAGAATCTACAAGAAATACAAGATTTAATTTTGGATAAAAAATTTGTACCATTTCCTTCGAGATCTTGTAAAACTTTTATTATAGACGAATACCCATTATGAGATGGTTATGAAAACATTCGTCAATTAAATGTTATTACCCGTGCTATTATATTATATAACAATCTTGTAAATTTATAGAAATCAATTGGTTATAATATAGTTAAAGATGTGAATAGTTTATTGTTTCAAGGAGTGATGATAATGTTATTTTCGCTACAAGGATTAAGACCCGAGCCATCGACTCAAAAGATTTAAAATTGTACATAAATCTTGGATTTCAATTAGATGAAAAAGTAATTGTTGAAATTTTGAAATTGTTTCATCAAAGATTAAATGATGTTGGAAAAAAGATAGTAGAATCTATATGTGATATTAAACAAGAAAACAAGATTGAATTTTTAAGAAAATATTACATGAAAACATTCAATCCTGATGCACATCTTTCAATTGAAGAAATTATGAATATTCAAAATTTTATTAGAGAATCATTTTTGGAAAATCATATTGAAGAATTTGTAAGATTTCTATAAATATGTTACAAAATTAATTTATATGTTTGTTTATAAGACTTATATAAGATTATTAAGATATATGTTTAAGATTTAATTTTATTATTAATAAATTCCATGTTTATAAAAATATAAATATTCAATAATTTTATTAAAATTTTTTTAAAAAATGAATAACAAAATAAAGAAAGTTTTAATTTCTCTAATATATCGTAACTTGTTTAAATATTACTTCTTTTATACACTGTATAATGAAAAAACTAAAATGATAACAATTAGTTGTGGTGAAAATACCAAAAAACAAATTTTATCCCAAGATGAAAAATATCTTTTAAATGATATTTTAAAAGAAACGGTTAGTAACTTTAAAAAAGAATTTGAAAAAGAAGAAATTGAAGAAATTATCAAAGAAAATGAACATCTTTTAAATGAAATTAGAAATAGTATTTTCAAAACAGAATACAAAAATGATTTCTATGAAAAATTAGACGAAATATTTAATGCCAATGTAATTAATTAATCTGTTATAAATTACTTAAACAAATCATTAATTTTAGTTTTTAACTCATCGTCATATGTTTTGGCTTCATCAAAGATGTAGTAATGTGAACTGTTCAAATATGGATTGCACAAAATCAAATCTGTATCCATACAGATTGATCTGCAATTCGCATATTCAAATAGTTATCATGTGAAACTGTGTAGTTGATCAACAAACTGTACACAAAGTTTGCATTGTAGATGATGCAGTTGCAGTGAGCACTTAGTGGTTAAAATCAAAAAAAAATTTTTTGCTAACTTTTTAGTCTGAGACAATAAGCAAAAAATCAGAATGAATTATTTAAAACATATATCACGAACTTATATATTGTGATTAGCTGATTTTTGTAGATTATCTCATAACAAGAATGGATTCGCAGCCACAAATATGAATTCGCCAAGGTTGTGGTATAAAAATTTAGAAACTATACCTTATTCTCTATAAGACATCAAAGTAATTTAGTAATCGGCGAGGTAATCCTGAAGTTAGATGAAAGCTACTTTTTGAGTATTTTATTTAATTTGTAATCTATTTAAACTATGCGATTTAAACTTTTTTTTTTTAGTTTCACCAAGACGTTTGTAGCTTATAAACAATAAGTAAATAGTATGTTTATTCTTTTCTATGGTTTTATTATTTTACTTTTAACCGACTTTTATTTTTATTTTTTTGATCTTTGCTAATGTACTAATGATCTTAGATTCAATATTGAATAATCATATGAAGTTTTAATAACATTGCCACGATAGATAGCTTTGATAATTAGTAGTCATTGGAATTTAATATCACAGATGATGTTTAAATTGGATGATGCTGAAATTTGTATATATTATGTGCGATCTTTAAATTTTTTGAGTTAGCTTTTTTTTTTGAGGGTAAATTGGGATTTAAGTAAGCAACATTAGCAAAAGAGTATAAGTTGATATTGTAGAGTTTATATTTTTAAATCGAAACCCTCAAATTTCAGCATCATCCGCAACATCAAATAAAAACGTACGGAAAGGCGAAAAGGATGTGTTTATTGATAAAATAGATAAAATTTATTGATCTCGCAATAATAAAATTGTTATTTCTTTATGATGTAGGAGATTAAGGGTATTTCTTATATACATAATAATGTGTTTTAATATTTAATTAAAACTTTAAAGACCAATATTAATACTACGTACTGTTGTTATTCTACTATCATCTCACAATTTAATTAGTCGATCGGCCAATAAAATCACGAGATGATTACCAAAATCTAACCAATCACAATAAAAGTTCGCTATGTTAGAATGATCCATATGGGCGGATTTGTTTTCTATTAAATTGACCAATAGGATTTTAGATTAGTCAGATGATCATTGTAAAGTGATATATTATTGATGCAGATCTTACTTAGATAATTGAGGTAGGAACGTCCCGAGTGCCCTGATCTGTAGATCATTACACAATTAATCAAAGATTTTTTTTATACATTTTACAATACTTTTTTCGGAAGCTCGGGTGGCTTAACTCACAAGTAAAGGGGGGCAAGTGCACTAAGTAAACTTGTAACCTTCACTTAGATATATAACATATTTATAGAAATCTTAGATTATATTGGATTATCGCTGTTTGCATATGCTCGACTAAATTCTTCAAGATGATTTTCCGGAAATGATTCTCCAATAAATTTTTGGATATTCATAATTTCTTCAATTGAAAGATGTGTGTCAGGATTGAATGTTTTCACATAATATTTTCTTAAAAATTCAAC